TTAATCTAGTTCCCTAATGTTATAGATGACTTATCTTTAAAATAGTCAACAATCTATTCTAAAACTTGCCATTGAAAATCATATTTTCTGGGAAGTGATTTTTAATTTAACTGAAGTGTTTGGAAGTACGTTTCTTTAAAGAATTAAATAATTTAATATAATCTCACCATGTTCTATGTGGAGGGAATTAGCCAATGGTGAAGCGTGTACATTGAAGCAGGGGTGAATGGGACAAATGAACAGCAAATGACAGTTGTCAATAGTTGCTTAGCTGAGCTTGTTACAATCCAGACATAAGACCATCCCAGCTTCCAGCCATCAGCATGTATGGTTCCTCCAGTAGGCCGCCTGAGACAGTTCCGCTTCTACTACCTTCTCTAAAGAGGCCCTTGCAGGTGAGCAACTTTTGCGGTGATTCTTAATCATGCCAATGACTCAGAGTTGCTCTGGTGACTGCACCCATAGTGATGTCAGTCAAGTGTCCGTATGCTGCCACTGGCTAGAATTGGGACACTTAGAACAAAGACTACGTCAAAGAGGCGTTTCGATTACTGTTGTGTTTCCTATTGAGACACTATCACAAATTTGATTCAATGTCTCTATTTGTGTAATAGTAGTTGCAATATCAGGGTGTACTAATTTAAGGTTTGGGCAACTCGCAAAGCAAGTGTGCACCGTAGAGTCAGTTGAAGTGTATGTGACCAGAAAGCCATCCACGCAGTGGAGGGACAGCCAACTGTGGGTGAGCTTAAGATTAGTACTGAACACCATTAATGTGTTGATATAAATTTATAAAGTAGTTTCAAAGAGAAAATTAGAAACTCTAAAGTCAGAATTATCTAGAGAAAATGAAAGTGATACATGAGAAAGTCTCACACCCCCATTATGATGTGCACCCACTGGGGAAGGTCAGCCTCAGACAGCACTGGTTTGGGCCATGCAGTACAACAGTGACCCCGCTAGACCTGCTTTCTCCTGCATCTCCACCTTGCAAAGTGGAAAAAGGGAAGAGATGCAAGCAAGTAGGCAAAATACGGTGGGTATTGTGGGTGTGTTGAGTAGGGAGATCCCAGCAATATCAGTGTAGTGCTGATGCTATTTGACACGCTCTATTCAAAAATATCAATGACCGAAGGACCGGATCTCAGCCATCCTTGATACCCCATAGGGTTGTCCTTAATTAAACGTCCTTGAAATTCTCTAATATGAACCCAGAAGAATAAATCTGCTAAGGAGGTTGTATTTCTAATGTCCAGCCACTAGAGGGGAGGAGAGCCCATGCTACTTCTGCTTGGCCACAGTACCCTCCACACTGAGCCCCTGACCCCTGCAGGGCCCAGCCCTGAATACATTGCTTCTGTTTCTGTTTCTATGAAACTTTGACTTTTTGTTTGTTAGTTTTGCTTTTAGCTTTGTGGAGGGGGAAAAAGGATGGAACCACAGGCTTATATTGTTGGGGGGAAAAATAACATGAATCATTAAATCAGCTAATTCTTAATAAACACCTCTTTTATAAAAATTCAATTTTAAAATGGGACAATTTTAGAGACAATTTAAAAAATGCAACTCAGTTGTATTCCAAACAAAATATATTACGCAAGAAACTTATAACAATATCCACTCTAAACACTAATGCTCAGGAGCCTGGCTTTTTATTAATGTTACTACTATTTGACAGACTTTTAAATGATTTTTAAAATACATTTTTGTAAGTTTCTTTCCATGCCCTCTCAATAAAGCTTTCATTCTAGTAGAATGAAAGATTTGGGGTTTTTTTTCCCCTTTGGAAAGTTGTAGTAGATTTTGTATATGCTGCACTGTTCTCCCAATGGAAAGGATTTAGTGTAACATTTCTCTCAAAATTGCAAGCCCTCTCTTCTGTCCTTCAGCATTCTTGAAAGGGTGTAAGTTTAGCTGGCATCTTTGGCTTGAGGCACTTAGAATTACCTTTCTCTAAACATACAAGGGTATAAACTTCTCTTCCTACAGAATAGAATGATCTAAGAAATTTTTTTTTCTTCTAGGAAACACACATAAGGTTAGATTTTAGCCCGGTTTTGGTTTGGTCTGGTTTATGGTATATATATATATATATAGAGAGAGAGAGAGAGAGAGAGAGAGAGAGAGAGAGAGACAGACAGAGAGAGAGATCTGTGTGTGTGTGTGTGTGTGTGTGTGTGTGTGTGTGTGTGTGTGTGTAAAATCTGCTACTAAAAACAATGCTGGTCACAAAGTAGATCTCATTTTGTTGAATGAAAATTTGTATCCATTAAGTATGGTAAATTTGGAAAACTAATGCATATTACCCCTGCCTGGTAGGAGATAAATGAATAAATATCGACATTACCAACACTCCTTGTCCCTGCCTAATTTTTGTCAGTCCCCTCCCTCACAGAATTGCTACCTGACATTTCTTTACAAAGAACTGGTTGGGGTTGTTAAATAGAGATGATGGTGAATACTGAACCATGTTGCAACAGTGCTGGAAATTTCTAGAAAGAATAAAAGATACATTTTCACAAAATCCTTGCCTGTTTTCTCCCACTCTTTTACTTTGAGAGCCCCAGGCTTGGTGCTCTGCCCTTTGGGGAAGGATCAAAAGCTTGCTGGATGTGGAGGTAGCCCAGGGCAACTTCCTGGAAGGTTTTGTGGAAACCCCATTTTAAGCTTGGGGTTCCTGGCTGGGCTTAGCTTCCCCCAGCATCCACAATGATGAAGTCAACTATTGCTCATGCTGGGTTCAGTCTACACTGATTTTAGGGAACTACAGGAATATGGCAGTAAGGAAATGCTATATCCTGTCAAAGCAATGCAATTGGCATTCATAAAGGAACGCCCTTGGCAGTCTGCTGCAGGGCATGGGTTCTCACTGTCTTAGAATCTGCTTTGGAGGAGCCACTGTGTTAATCTCAAAGACATTATCTTTATTTCCTTAGAGCAACAGATAATTTTGGGAGCCTTGGGACAGTCATTGAAACTTTCACTTGCAATGTGGCTGCTTTGAAACAGAAACCTATCTGGACTCTAATTCAGTTGGCTATTGGCTCTCCAGAACACAAAGCCATTCTCTGGGGGAGCAACACTCTTCTGAGGTAGCCATTTCTTTTCCACTGGATATGATTAGATGTGAAAAAGATCGTTGACAGTGTTAAGCTTGAAATGGAGTGACCTTAGTTAACCCACTGTTAATCCTGTTCAGGTAACATTCCAGCGTGGGCTGCCAAGAATCCCTTTATTGGACACAAAAACCAACCTGACCTGGAAAACAGTTAATGAATCTTTTGAATCTTTTTGATGTGGCGCTGAATATCTTTAAACTCCTAGTCTTTATGGCGCTAAAGGGGGGAAGGGACTCCATGTTAACTTTTTCATTTTTTGAAAAAAAAAAAAAGCTCTGGTTTCTTAATTCAGCCTTCATTCCTCAGCACTTAGCATGCCCTAATCCTGTCTCCAGCCATCACCATCCAACCACCTTACAGATGAGGTAAAGTAATGATATTTCAGTTAAATGGCTGGTCAATAAACACTGTAATTAGAAACAGGATAACAGCCAAACTCGTGCTTTTGAAGTAGATAAACACTTCTATTTGAGGCAAAACTATGGTTGAAGTTTCAGGGCAGGTGGTGTGGGTGGGAGTAATAAACTAAGAAAGAGTTTGAAGCAGAAGTCACATTCGAGTGGCATTGCTATCAAGTGGGAGCAATGGCAGGGTCTCCTCTTAGAGTCTTCAGCCTCTAGAGTCTGCCCTGACCTCCTTTCAACAGGGCACTTCTGCAGAAGGCTGCCCACAGAAGGGCTGCTTACTGCATGATCCTGCTCCAATATCAGCCACACTGGAGCTATTTTACAGAGCAGCCAAACAAGTTCAGGCAACCCAGATCTTTATCTGCTTTGCTGAAAGGGGCTGGTTACATTTTAATCTCAGTTATATAAATGTTTGTTTTGAAAGCAAACTGACACACTCGAGTCTTCCCTCCTCCCCTGATTTCCAGTAAATAACTTCTCCCTTCCCTCTTTCCCTCCCTCCCATCTTTCCTCCACCCCTTCCCCTCTCAAAAAAGAAAAGGAATATAGAAAATTAAGTAAGTATATCAAATGATGTAGATTATTGAGTATGTATGTATTCTTGCTGCTTGGGTTGTTTAGATGTCTTGTGATAAGAGCTAAATATAGTGTGTGTGTGTGTGTGTGTGTGTGTGTGTGTGTGTGTGTTGTATGTATATTGTATGTGGGGAGGTATGTATGTACGTGTAGTCGTATGTGGAGACCAGAAGCTGAGATTTGCACCAATATCCTTCTCTATTCTTCTTTGAATCTCCCACTAAACCCAGCTTACCCTGGGTTGCCCTAACTCTGCCCCCTGAGTACTGAGAATGCAGGTGGCCACTGAGCCTGCCTAGCTTTTATGTGGGTTATGGGGATCCAAAAATCTAGTCCCCATGCTAGCACAGGCAAGTGCTCTATCCATAGAATCATCTCCCCAGCCCTAATCCAGACTTCCTAAACCTCAGCTCGAACGGGCTTAACTTACATCCAGGCAAATATGATCCATATCTCCATCTGATTCCATCCATTTCCAGTGATACAAACTCCTTGCCACACCTAGGAGCCGTGTTGCTTTCAATCTCTATAGGTTAATTTTTCTTTATTAGGAATTCATAGTAACTAAATCACAAAACCTCGCTTCTCTGTATTGGTTTCCTTTGCTCAGCATGTTTTGGAGATTGTCTACATTATGTCATTAATCTGCTCCTGAGCAACATTCCTTTGTTGAAACATGAAAAGTTTGTTCACTTGCTTAATTATAATGTACCATTGTTTCAAGTGTCCAGTTACCATGAATATACATGTTAACCATGCTTGAGAGTATTCTTATTGATGTAGACCATGCTTCACATTGGAAAAATCTACTACAATTTTTATGTGGAAATGGAAGTATATCTTGGATGCTGTAAGAAATTTTCAGCCCTTTCAAAAGGATTGTAATAGTCTTACATACCTGCCAGTGAAGTCTGAGGGCTTCAGTGTCCTCTCAGCATTTAGGGAGTTCAGTCTTGTGAGGTGGGTTGTCCTGGTGGCTTTTATCACATGTGATAATGAGCAATGACTTTGGGCCTCCTTGTTTTGTAATCTACATATTATCTTGGTGAAGCTCTCCTCATCTCTTTTGCCCTTTAAAAAAAAATTGGCTTGATTCTTGTGTGGGGGGAGGGGGGAGATCACATATGTCTATTTCCTTGTGGTTTATGGTTTTATCAATCTCTCCAGCCCAGTCTGATGGTATATTGAGGCAGAGTCCTACTGTATAGCCCAGACTAGCAGGGAACTCCTGATCCTTCTGTCTCTGGTCCTTGAGTCAAGGAACTCACAATTCTCTGCCCATTCATCAGTTTCTCTTACAGAATGGAGGTTGACTTTTGAAGACAGGTATTGCTTTGTTCTTTTATGGATTGTTAACCTGAAGAATACTTGAATAAATCTTGCCTACACACAAATATTTTCTTCTAAATTGTTAGCAGCTTTTGTTTGGTACTTGCAATTCATGTTGGGCAACTTCCAAGTGTGGTGTGAGGTGTGTATCTAAGTGTTCAAAGCTTCTGTGCTTTTTGTGCATGTCAATCATCCGAGTGTCCTTTGTTAAGAAGACTGTTCTTTCTTTTCTGTTTCCTTTTCTTCCTTAGTGAACACTCATTTATCCACATAGTTGCAAAATTAATTTTTTCATTTTGGTTCATTTTCTCTTTATATGCTGATATATAATCTTAATTATTTTATTGCTATACCTTAAAACATGAATCTATTCTTGTTCTTAACGTTCAAAGTGTTTTGACTACATTAGGCCCTGCTCATTTTCATTTAAGTTTTAGAGTCAACTTTTCAAAGTCTACAAAATAAGCCTTTTGATATTTTGGATGGACTTGTGTTGGATGTGTGAATCAGTTTGGAGCAAAGTGACATCTTAGCAGGATGAGTCTTTCAGTCCCATGAAGTTCCATTTGTCACATATTGGTGCTGTTTCTTTAGCAACTTCAGTTATGTTAAGAAAAAGTCTGATCCATCTCTATTTGAAGTGCTTCACCTACTTTCTCCTCTATCATTTTTAGAGTTCCAGGTTTTATGCTAAGGACTTTCATCTCTTCAGAGTTGATTTTCTGCAGGGTGAGAAATAGGGACCGAATTTAACTCTTCTCTGCATGGGTATCCAGCTTTCTCTACACCACTGATGGAAAAGACTATCTTTTCTCTAATGTCTATTTCTGCATCTTTATAGAAATTAGGTGCTGTTGTATGGGCGTATGTCTGGGTCGTCTGTTCTGTTTCACTGATCTGTATATCAATTTTTTGTGTTACTATCATGCTGCCTTTATTACTGTGGCTCTGCAATATAATTTGAAATCAAGGATAGTGAAAAGTTTTAATTTAACCTATTTGCTGGGCAGGGCTTCCATATACAGCTTAAGATTTTTAAAATATATTTCCATGAAGAATGGCAATAGAATACTGAAGGAGATTATGTTGACTCTGTAAATTGCTGTTGTCTGTACATTGGGATATTTTGTCTTCTATTTATTTTTATTCTTTTTAATTTTTCATTGTTGATTATCTAGCACTTCAGACACTATATTGAATAAGAGTTAAAAAAACTAGAAAGAATGAACATGTGTCTTGATCCTGATTTTAATTTAAACTATCTCTGTTGACTATAGGTTTATTGTATACAGTTTTCATTATGTTGAAATGTGTTCCTTATATTCCAAGTCTCTTCCTGGCTTTTATCATAAAGAAATGTTGGACTTTTGTCAAAACCCTTTTCTGAACCTATTGTGATGACCATGTGATTTTTGTCCTTAATCTAATTGATATGAAGGGTTACAGTTGTGGACTTGTATATTTTGAACTATTCCTGCATCTATGGAAAGAATCTGTCTAGTTCATGGTGAGTGTTAGTTTTGATAAGTTTTTGAGTTCTGTTTGCAAGTATTTCTTTGAGAATTTTTGCAACTGTGTTCATTGTGAGTATCAAATTACCATTTTCCTTATTGCAGTTGTCATATCTCTGTGTGGATTTTGCGTGACAGTGTTTTCTTCTTACCCACTTCACAGACGACACCAGCACATCAGGGACACTTCCATGTTGACAGTCTGGGAGATTTCAGCAGTGAATCTACCTGGGCCTGGACTTACTTTAGTTGGAAAATTTTTGATGTTTAAATGTTATTGCTTGTTATAGATCTTTGTAAGTTGTTGGTCTTTTCCTAGTTTAATTTGGGTACAACACTTGGGTCTAGAAATTCACCCACTTTTTCTAGATTTTTCAAATTTAGTGGAATGTAAGATTTAAAATTTGTTCCAATGAGTTTCTAAATTCTATTGGTACCTATTGTGTTGCAGTTTTCTTTCTTTCTTTCTTTCTTTCTTTCTTCCTTCTTCTTCTTCTTCTTCTTCTTCTTCTTCTTCTTCTTCTTCTTCTTCTTCTTCTTCTTCTTCTTCTTCTTCTTCTCCTCCTCCTCCTCCTCCTCCTCCTCCTCCTCCTCCTCTTCATTCTCCTCTTCCTCCTCCTCTTCATCCTCCTTTTTCTCCTCCTCCTTCTTCTCCTTCTTCTTCATTTTTGTTTGTTTGTTTGTTTTTTAAGACAGGGTTTCTCTGTAACTTTAGAGCCTGTCCTGGAACTAGCTCTTGTGGACCAGACTGGCCTCAAACTAAAAGAGATCTGCCTGCCTCTGCCTCCTGAGTATTAGGAAAAAAGGCATGCACCACCACTGTTCAGCTTGTAATGTAGTCTTTTTAATCACTAATTTTGTTAACTGTGATCTTTGTGCTTTCTTTTAATTTGTTTTTCTGAAGTTTTTTTTTATTAAAATATGAAAGTTTCCATTTTCGCCCCTCCTCCCAACACCCTCCCACTCCCCCCACTCCCTCTCCTCTTCCCTCTCCATCCCTAAGAGCAGTCAGGGTTTCCTGCCCTGTGGGTAGTTCAAGTTCCTCCCTGCTCCCTCCAGGTCCAGGAAGGTGAGTATCCAAACAGACTGGATCCCCAAAAATCCAGTATATGCAGAGGAAACAAGTCCCAGTGTCATTGTCAATGGATTTTCAGAAAGACTCCGGGCCAGCCACATTCAGAGAATCCGGCCACATTCAGAGAATCTGGTTGGATCTCGTGCTTGTTCAGTCCCAGTCTAACTGGCCTTGGTGAACTCTCATTAGATTATATAAAAATATAAATAGATTATATAAAATGTAAAAATATAAAATAGATTATATAAAAGTAAGTCTTAACACATATAAGGAAACTTAAATATATTTCTTATTTATACCTGTTCACAATGGAATGTAGCTGAAATTACTATAAGGAGAAATTACATAATATACATGTATACAGAACATAGCTAAACTGACCTAGACTGAACATCAGTGAATGATGAATAGATAGTGAATGAAACTAAGAAAAAATAAAAAATTCTTACAGTTAAATGAAAATGAAATACAATATACCACATCTAAATGGGATATAATGAAAGCAGCACTTAATAGGAAACTCATTGCTATACATGTCTACATTAGAAAATCAGAGATAACTGAAATAAATAACTCAAGGATGCACCTTAAGAACATAGAAAAAGATTGAGGCCAACCTGATGTACAGAGCAAGTTCCAGGACCGGCTCCAGAGCAACACAGAGAAATACTGTTTTGAAAAAGCAAAACACACCAAAACAAAAGCAAAAAAAAGAGAACATAGAAAAAGAAACACATAAAAAAGACTCAAAATTGGTAGATCAAGGCAGAAATTAATGAAATAGAAATGAAAAGTAAAATAATGAAATAAAAAATGATTCTTTTCAACGATAAAAAACAAAGAGTGACAAAACCTTTCACGATAGCCACAAATAGCATAAAATATCTTGGGGTTACTCTAACCAAGGAAGTGAAAGACCTATTTGACAAGAACTTTAAGTCTTTGAAGAAAAAAATTGAGGAGGATACCAGAAAATGGAAAGACCTCCACCTGGCTAAGGATCATGATTTTTAAATCCAATTTATTAGTATTAGTCAACTGATGGGAGAATTTGCTCCATTAATATTTAAAGTTTTTATAAGAAGGATTGTATTGACTGTTGTCGTCTCGTTGATTTTGCAGTGTTTGGTGGCTTCCTGTTCTGTATCCACTCTTCAGAGTTGTTTAATCTTTCCTGGAGCCTTGTGTTCATGTTTATTTTTCCTTTCAATCCAAAGAGTCCTTTCCAGTATCTTCTACAGTGTCGATTTTGTACATAGAAATTCCTTTGTTTAGTGTTCATCATGGAAAAATGTTTCTTCTCTTTCACTATGACAGATGGTTTTACTCAATATAAGACTCTAGACTGTCAGTTACTGTCTTCAGTGCTGTTCGGGCTTTTAGGGTTGGTGCTGTGAAATCTGATGCCATTCTGATGGCTTTGCCTGTATGTGTTCTTTAGTCTGTCTCTCTTGCAGATTTTAGTATTTTTTAATTTGTTCTCTATAGTTTCTGTTTGGTCTATAATATGACATTGGAAAGTTTTATTTCTGATCTTATTCAGTGTTCTAAATACCTCCTGAGTCTGGTCATCTCTTTGTCTAAATACAGAGAACTTTCCGCCATAATTTTATTGTTTATAATAATATAACATAATTTATATTATGTTTTATAATAATAAAACATAATATATTGTTTATGTCTTTGGCCTGAAGTTTGTCTTTTTCTACCCTTGTATTGTATGAATTTGGTTCTTTAGTTCTATTCATATTTTCTTTGTTGTTGTCTCAATGTTATAATTCTTATATCTTATCTTTTATTACTGATAGTCTGTATTTTACTTATCTATTTTATTGGTGAAGCGTTAGATTTAATTATTTAGTTGACTTATTGAGTTTTTACTTCTAACGTGATTACTTAATTTTTCCCCAGTATTTCTATCTCTTTTATGAATTTCTGATTCTTATCTTATATTGACTTGTATATTTCATTCAAATATTTAAATGTATATTCTTTGATTTCTTTGACATTCTTATAATCATTATTTTACATTGTTTCTTTTTTCAGGTTCACTGACCTTTATTTATGGATAGAATCCACTTATGAGTGAGTACATACCATATTCATCTTTTTAGGTCTGGGTTACCCCACTCAGAATAGTATTTTCTATTTCCATCCATTTGCATGCAAAATTCAAGATGTTAATTAACCCAATTAAAAAATGGGGCACTGAACTGAACAGAGAATTCTCAACAGAAGAAGTTCAAATGGCCAAAAGACACTTAAGGTCATGCTCAACCTCCTTAGTGATCAGGGAAATGCAAATCAAAACAACTCTGAGATACCATCTTACACCTGCCAGAATGGCTAAAATCAAAAACATTAATGATAGCCTTTGCTGGAGAGGATGTGGAGTTAAGGGTACACTCATCCATTGCTGGTGGGAATGCAAACTTGTGCAACCACTTTGGAAATCAGGGTGGCGGTTTCTCAGGAAATTCGGGATCAACCTACCCCAGGATCCAGCAATACCACTCTTGGGAATATACCCAAGAGATGCCCAATCATACTACAAAAGCATTGGTTCAACTCTGTTCATAGCAGCATTATTTGTAATAGCCAGAACCTGGAAACAACCTAGATGCCCTTCAATGGAAGAATGGATAAAGAAAGTATGGAATATATACACATTAGAGTACTACTCAGCAGTAAAAAACAATGACATCTTGAATTTTACATTGTTTCTTATGATTTTATGCAATTCATACTCATTAAGCACCATTATTGTCTAACTGGGATTGGAAATGATTTGTGCTGCTCCTGTTTTTCACATTTCATATATTACTTTATTGAGACTTAGATTTATGATGGTATTCATATGATCAGCTATAATTTTTCAGTTAAAATATTTGCATTGTTCAAGTGGGGATAAGTTTCAGTAGGATGAATGTGCATAGTTTAGAAGGTAAGACCTCAAGTCCTCCTATTGTAAGTTCGCTGGGTTCTGGTGTTTTCATGTTGCTTTTCAGATTGTTGGAGGAAATCTTGCATTGGCGCCTGCCCATCTCTTTCTTCAAATGCTCTCCAATGGATCTTCTGGTACAGGGTCAGGTCCCCTTGTTGGACAGGGACCTCTCAAACAAAGGGGCCTACCTTGCTGCAGGCAGGCTATTGAAACAAAGGAACTCCCGCCCACTTGCACTTACCACCCCATCCCAGTGCCCCAACAGGCTGAGCTGGGGGATCTTATGGCCCTAAGAAGGGAGGAAAAAGGGAGGGAGAGCCTGGGCACAAGCTGGGATGGGATAGGAAGAGAGGGCAGTAGCAGGGGAGAGAAGCCCCTACAGAATGACCCGGAAGTTTAGAGGGTTGAGGAATGTCTGTGCTCGTTTCCCGGGCTTTTGCCTCGGGTCAGGAACACACTTACCCGTCCGATGGATCTTCTGGTACAGGATAGAAAATGAAGAGGACACCAGAAAATGTAAAGACCTCCCATGCTCTTGGATGGGTAGGATCAACATAGTAAAAATGGCAATTCTACCAAAGGCAATCTATAAATTCAATGCATTCCCCATTAAAATCCCAACAACATTCTTCACAGACCTTGAGAGAACAATAATCAACTTCATATGGAAAAACAAAAAACCCAGGATAGCCAAAACAATCTTATACAGTAAAGGAACTTCTGGAGGCATTACCATCCCTGACTTCAAATTCTATTACAGAGCTACAGTAATGGAAACAGCTTGGTACTGGCATAAAAACAGAGAAGTCGACTAATGGAATCAAATAGAAGACCCGGATATTAATCCACAAGCCTATGAACACCTGTTTTTTGACAAAGGAGCTAAAAGTATACAATGGAAGAAAGAAAGCATCTTCAACAAATGGTGTTGACAGAACTGGATGTCAACCTGTAGAAGATTGAAAATAGATCCATATCTATCACCATGCACAAAACTCAAGTCCAGATGGATTAAAGACCTCAATATCAATCTGAACACACTGAACCTGATAGAAGAGAAAGTGGGAAGTCGTCTACAACATATGGGCACAGGAGACCACTTCCTATGTAAAACCCCAGTAGCACAGACAATAAAGGCAACAATGAATAATTGGGACTTCCTAAAACTGAGAAACTTCTGTAAAGCAAAGGACACTGTCATTAAGACAAAAAGGCAACCTACTGATTGGGAGAAGATCTTCACCAACCCAGCAACAGACAAAGGTCTGATCTCCAAAAGATATAAAGAACTCAAGAAACTGGACTTTAAAATGCTAATTAACCCAATTAAAAAATGGGGCACTGATCTGAACAGAGAATTCTCAACAGAAGAAGTTCAAATGGCCAAAAGACACTTAAGGTCATGCTCAACCTTCTTAGTGATCAGGGAAATGCAAATCAAAACAACTTTGAGATACCATCTTACACCTGTCAGAATGGCTAAAATAAAAAACACCAGTGATAGCCTTTGCTGGAGAGGATGTGGAGTAAGGGGAACACTCATCCATTGCTGGTGGGAATGCAAACTTGTGCAACCACTTTGGAAATCAGTGTGGCAGTTTCTCAGAAAATTCGGGATCAACCTACCCCAGGATCCAGCAATACCACTCTTGGGAATATACTCAAGAGATACCCTATCATACCACAAAATCACTTGTTCAACTATGTTCATAGCAGCATTATTTGTAATAGCCAGAACTTGGAAACAAACTAGATGCCCCTCAATGGAAGAATGAATGAAGAAAGTGTGGAATATATATATACATTAAAGTACTACTCAGCAATAAAAAACAATGACAACTTGAATTTTGCATGCAAAAGGATGAAAATAGGAAACACTATACTGAGTGAGGTAACCCAGACCCAAAAAGATGAACATGGTATATACTCACTCATTAGTGCATTCTAGACATTAATAAAGGACACTGAGCCTATAATTCGTGATCCTAGAGAAGCTAAATAGGAAGGTGAATCCAAAGAAAAACATGTAGTTATCCTCCTGAATATTGGAAGTAGATAAGATTGCTAGGCAAAAATTGAGAGCTTGGGGGTGGGGTGGGGTGAGGGTAAGGGGAGATGGGGAGAGAGAAGTAAGAAGGGGAGGATGGGGAGAGCTTGGGGGAATGGGATGGGTGGGATGGAGGAAGAGTGGATATGGGAACAGGGAAGTATAGATCTTAATTAAGGGAGCCATATTAGGATTGACAGGAGACTGGACTCTAGAGGGGTTCCCAGGTGTCCAAGGAGATGTCCCCAGCTTGTTCCTTGAGCATCTGAGGAGAGGGCACCTGAACTGGCCCTATCCTATAGCCACAGTGATCAATATCTTGCATATCACCATAGAACCTTCATCTGGCGATGGATAGAGATAGAGACAGAGACCCACATTGGAGCACTGAACTGATCTCCCAAAGTCCTTATGAGGAGCAGAAGGAGAGAGAACATGAACAAGGAAGTCAGGACCGCGAGGGGTGCCCGCACCCATTGTGATGTTGGGGCTGATATAATGGGAACTCACCAAGGCCAGCTGGACTGGGACTGATGGAGCATGTGATCAAAACGGACTCTCTGAACGTGGCTGACAAGGAAGGCTGACTGAGAAGCCAAGGACAAGGGCACTGGGTTTTGATTCTACTGCATGTACTGGCTTTGTGAGACCCTAGTCTGTTTGGATGCTCAACTTCCTGGAACTGGATGGAGTGGGGAGGACCTTGGACTTCCCACATGGCAGGGAACCCTGACTGCTCTTTGGACAGGAGAGGGAGGGGGAGGGAGAATGAACGGAGGGGAAAGGAAATGGGAGGAGGTGAAAAATTTTAATAATAATAATAACAATAATAATAATAATAATAAAATATTAAAAGAAAAAAAAGAAGGTAAGACCTTGGTCCACTTGCTCAGGTGTCCAGTGTGACACCTGTATTTCTCCCAGTGTAAAATTTTCACATCAGAGAGAACCATGTTTACTGGATAGGCCCACAGTGCAAATGTTATAATTGCTAATTAAAAACAACAGTGATCTTTTTAATTTCAATAAATTGCAATTAGAGGTTAAACCAATGAGGATAGTACTATGTATTCTAGGAGGGAGTTACTGAGATTAACAATGGAAGGGGTATAGGTTAGGAAAATATTGAGATTGACATCTCAGCAATATACTTTTATTCAGTTTAGTTGTAATTTCTTCTTCATTCTGTGTGTCTTATTTCACATCATGATCATTCTGATGTTTATTGCTAATTTAATTTCACTGTGGAAGAGTACACACTTTGTATAACTTGTAAATTTTTTGAAGTTGTTGAAATTTATTTTATGCACAGATATGGTGCATTTTGGGTTATGTTTGAGGGCCACAGAAATGAGGATGCATTTAAGTCTACATGGGTGATCTAAAAATGCCAATTCGACCAAGTAGGCTGATAGTATTCATATATCCTGTATAATATAATATAATATTATGGAACCAGTACCTGCTTCCATAATGCATTCACATTTAAGAGAAGAACTTTACAATCTCTTATTGTAACTGAATTTGCATTATTTCTTATGTATTTCAATGACCTTTTCAAAATATGATTAAAACAATATTATCAGCAAATAAATATTGAAGAATTCTATGTTTTCTCTATGAATTACTCATTATTTTTTAGAAGATGCATTGTTTTATGGAATTGATGCTTTCTAGTATTATTCTTGCTCTGAAATTTACTACTGCTATATAAAATATCTGCTTTATTTGTCTTTACTAGTGCCAACATGATGTGGGATTCCACTTTGTATGCTATGAATACCATTGGTTAATAAAGAAACTGTCTTGATCCTATAGCAGAGCAAGACAGAACAGAGCTGGGCAAGGAAAACTAAACTGAATGCTGGGAGAAGGAAGGCAGGGAATGGAGAAGCCATGGAGCCACCACCGGAGACAGACACTCTGGAACCTTGATGGTAGGCAACGAACATCATGGTAAAATATAAAATAATGAAAATAGGTTAAATTAAGATATAAAAGCTAACCAATAAGAAGTTAGAGCTAATAGGTAAGCAGTGATTTAATTAATACAGTTTCTGTGTGATAATTTCTGGGTGGCCAGGAAACAAACATGCGACCTCCTACTTCACCAGCACTACATCTTTACCATTCTATTTTCTGTTCAATGGTGTCTTTCTTGTAGACACATATAGTTGGATATTATTTTCAGGTCAATATGACGTTATGTAGAACATATTGTCAATTTCTGATTAGTGTTAAAGAACATGTTGCTATTTGCTTTCTATTTTGGTCATCCAGTCTCTGTTCTGTTTCTTTTTTACTCCTCTTTTTGCCTTTGTTTCTTATAATTCTGTATAATTTCTGTCTTAGTTATATCATACTACAATTATATGGAAGCCCCCAGAAGTGTGTCTGCTCTACCTTGATTGAAAATCAGAGTGTTTAAGCTGATTTTACTCTTTCAAGGCTATTGATAACAAGACTGACTTAAGGTGTGGCTACAAACAAGATATGTGGACCTAGGGTATATTTACTTTGTATTTTGGATATTGAGATGACCTACAGAGGTGGATCTATTCTTCCCTGATCAAAGGTCAAAGAATTCAAGCCTATTCCTTCTCCTTCAAGGATGTGAGAGGAGGTTTGACCCAGGGAGTGGCTGCCTACAGGATGCTTGGTCTAAGGTATAGTCATTGAATGTCCTGCCTAAACAACAGAATGCTTAACTTAGGATATAGTAGCTTGATGTTTCAAGTATCAAAGCAAGTAATTTCTCTATTTTTTCTTTGTGTCATATTAAAGCAGTCCTTTGCCTTCTTCCTCCCTTTTGGGATTGGGGTATATAAGCATATGGAAAATAAACACAGGAGAATTCAGTATTTGCTGGATTACCCTACCAGTTCAATTCTATGTCTCTATATTTCCTTTAAATCTCCATTTCTTCTATTTTTCTACCCCACATGCCCCTACCCTGAAATGCGAGAAATGCATTGAGAATAAACCCCAACAGATTTTGCGCAGATGTGGGATTCCGACATTATTAAAATAATATAGACAAGATAATTTATAGATGATAGAAATTTATTTGTCGTGATTATTTGTCATTTGTTTGGGACAGCCAAAGCCACTGTGTGAACAAGTTGAGTATCTGGTAAGCACTGCTTTGTAGATGGTTCTTACTGTGATTCTTCAAATGGAAGATCATGATTTCTTAAGTCTTTATAAGGTCACTAACCCCATTCACAAGCTCTCTCATGATGTAATAACTTTCTACAACATTAAAAATTAAATTTTAAAGCATTAATTTTGAGGGTTGCAAACATTCAGACACAGTATTCTCCATGTATTTACTCAATGTAACTCCTGATTTTGATTATTTTTAGTGATTCTCTTTAATTGATCCTATATATTTTCAAACTGTATCATTTACTTTTACTTTAATACAGTATAATAGTAGGTGTCCATTGCTCCCATCTTAAGATTTGTGTTAACACAATAATGTGTTTTTATGTATGCCACATACCCATAGTACATTGTCAGCATTTTATTTAGCAGCCAGTTATGACTCAAATAATTAGAAATGCATCTCATATAATTAATCATGAGTATTAGTCATTTTCTTTGTTGCTCCAACAAAGTTAAGGAAGGGAAGTTGATGTGGGCTCATGGTTGATGGTATCATTAGTTCTCACAATGTGAAAGTGTGATGGCTGGAGCCTGAGGCAGTTGGTCATTGTCAGGAAGAAGAGAGTCATGAACGCTAGTGCTCATCCTCCTTTTTCTATTTTATTAATGTGCCAGTTAATATACATCTTCCAATCACAATTAACCTAATTGTGATGATCTCTCACAGGCCTGCCTAGTGACTTGTCTCCTAAGTGACCTGCCACGTTGACAGTTAATGATAATCTTTTTTTTCCTTATTGATTTTATTGAGCTATACATTTTTCTCTGATTTCCTCCCTTTCTCTCCCCTCCCCTTCAGTCCTCTCCCATGACCTTCATGCTGGTGTAGGAGGTTCTTCTGTGTATGTGTTACTTTCATTGCTTGAATAAAGAAACTGCCTTGGCCTTTTGATAGGGTAGCACTTAGGTAGGCAGAGTAGACAGAACTGAATGCTGGGAAGAAGGACAGAGAGAGAGCTGCTATGGAGCTGCCAGGTCAGACATGCTGAATCTTTCCTGGTAAGCCATGACCTCGTGCTGACATATAGATTATTAGAAATGAGTTGAATCAAGATGTGAAAGTTAGCCAATAAGAGGCTAGAGCTAATGGGCCAGGCAGTGTTTAAATGAATACAGTTTCTGCGTGATTATTTTGGGTATAAACTAGTGGGTGGCTGGGACCAAAAGCAGGCCCTCTCTCCTTCAACGCCATGCTCCTTATTTACTCAGGATATCTTGTCTTCTTTTACTTCCCATGTAGATTAAATCCATGTATATCTCTCTTAGGGTCCTCATTGTTGTCTAGCTTCTCTGGGATTGTGATTTGTAGGCTGGTTTTTTTGCTTTAGGTTTAAAAAACACTTATGAGTGAGTACATATGATAATTGTCTTTCTGAGGCTGGGTTACCTCACTCAATATGATGTTTTCTAGATTCATCCATTTGCCTGCAAATTTCAAGATGTCATTATTTTTTTTCTGCTATGTGGTACTCCATTGTGTAAATGTACCATGTTTTTCTTATCCATTCTTCGGTTGAGGGGACATTTAGTTTGTTTCCAGGTTCTGGCTATGACAAACAATGCTTCAATGAACACAGTTGAGCACATTTCCTTGTGGCACAATTGAGCATCCTTTGGATGTGTATGCAAAAGTGGTATTGCTGGGTCTTGAGGAAGGTTGTCTCCTAATTTTCTGAGAAGTCGCCACACTGATATCCAAATGGGCTGTAACAGCTTGCACTCCCACCAGCAATGCAGGAGTGTTCTCTTTACCCCTAAACCTCTCCAGCATAAGTTGTCATTAGTGTTTTTTTTTTTAATCTTGGCCATTCTTACAGGTATAAGACAGAATCTCAGAGTTGTTTTGATTTGTATTTCTCTGATGACTAAGGATGTTGAGCATTTCTTTAACTGGAATACAACATGTAGAAGAATAAAAATAGAGCCATATCTATCACCATGCACAAAACTCAAGTCCAAATGAATCAAAGATTTCAACATAAAGTCAACCACACTGAACCTCATAGAAGAGAAAGTGGAAAGTACACTTGAACACAAAGACACAAGAGACTACTTCCTAAATATAACCCCAGTATCACAGACACTGAGAGAAACAATTAATAAATGGGACCTCCTGAAACCGAAAAGCTTCTATAAAACAAAGGACACGGTCAACAAGACAAAACGACAACCTACAGAATGGAGAAAGATCTTCACCAACCCCACATCAGACAGAGGTCTGATCTCCAAAGTATATAAAGAACTCAAGAAATTGGTCATCAAAAGAACAAATAACCCAATTTAAAAAATAACCCAATTTAAACAAAGAACTCTCAACAGAGGAATCTAAAATGCCTGAAAGTCAATGTTACTCTTCACAACATGTATTTATCATTAGGAAAACTTCCATGTGACCTCTAGGCAGTTCTCAGAAGAGGGCTGTGATAATCTTTTAACTTTATCTCAGCTGTATCTCTCTGGATTCCTGTTTGTCATGTGGTTATTCATATTGTATTTCTATGTGACTGATGACAGTCACTTAATGCTCTCACAAGAAGGACAAACTAATGGACCATTTAGTCTTAGATTTTGAATCTCTAAACTTTCATTTATATAATGACTTAATTATTTTATTTCCATTTATCATTTCAAAGATGCCTTCTTATTGACTGATGTTATAGACTGAATTGTGTCTTCTGTATTCATATATTGAAATCCTAGCTCCTGTAGTAAAAATGCAGCTATGTTTGGATATGGAGTATTTTACAAGGCAATTAAGGTAAAATAAAGTTGCCTATATGGATTGCATGCAGTCTGATATGATTGGTCCTTTCAAGAAGACACAGAAGAATGCAGAAAGAAAACCTTGTGAAAGTTCTGGAAGATACCTTTGTTGGTTAGCTTTCTACAATATAGGTTAAAAATCTTAACTTTCACTTGATTTGAAAGATGCTATTTCCTTATTTTTGTGTTCTAGGTGGAAGTGTGTATATTATACTGAAACTTGAAGGTGTCCAAATGTATCTGAGGGTATTTCAGAATGAAATTTAGATTTGAATGTCAGAGGTTATAAAGAAGATTATGCTCGTCAATGTGGCAAGCACAAGCTATGTGCTGTGGACCTTGTTAGTACAAAATGTAGAAGAAAAGGAATTTTCTTTTTCTTAATTTAACTCTTAAATAGAGACACCTCGTCTCATCTTATGTTCATGATCTTGGATTTCATCATCAGCTCCCTTTGTTTCTATACCATTGTGCTAGAACTGCCTCATAGAATCAGCTTCCCCAGGTCTCCAGTAAGAGGACAGCCGGATTACAGCTTCCATGGAAAGCTCCATAGCCAGGAGATCCTATTCCTTGTAGCATGTAAGCCAAGTATGTAATGAGTAAAAGTGTTAACACATACACATGTATCGACAAAGATGACATGGATACATATATGCATAACATGTCATGCAGTGTACACTCATGATAGATAGAAATGATGTGTGTTAAGTTATATTATATATATATCTAATATATTCTATTTCTTTAATCCTTCTGAAAATCCTAAGTAATAAAATGATCATGGAACAAACAAGATATGCAGAAAAAAAATCACTCAGAATTATTTCTAACCTCCAGAACTACAAGGAAACCTTCTGTCATTGTAGCCACCACTCTGTAGAGCAGGTAATAGGAACCAGAGCAGGTGACTGCATACAGCTCACAGAGTTCCCATAAATCTGACATTATTCTCCGTTTCAGTGCTTAGAATAACGTGTGCCCACTCTGTTCTCTTCTGGCGTTA